GGCTCACAGCGTTGTTGTTACACAGCTGCTGCTGTGGATGTTAGTACTTCTAGTGGCCGCTCCCTTGCAGGAATATACGCAACTTGCAAGGGTGTGGACACAACCATGCAATCGAGGCGGTATTTGACACGCGCAGTCCTTTATAACTGTGTGCGGTGACTTGAAATGGGTCAACATCAAAGCAGAATTTCATCGCTAGATTTTGCCTTTTCGACTCTTTCAAGTGACCCGTGAGGCTCTGGTAGTATTAACCGTATTTTCTGAAAAATCCGAGGAATGGTCGCTGGCATAGAAGGACGATGACAACATAAACTAGTAGTAGCTTCCGACCTGTAGTCAGGCGAGTTGGTTGACGCAGGAATAATTCTGTGAACAAGGTCTTGGTTGTCTATGTTACGGAAGTTCGAAACGCGTATAATATCGCATCATCATGGAGTCAGGTAAGCGTGTTGAGCCTGGGCAAGGGTTCAGGGCTCACGGTCAGTGCCACGCTGCTCTGTTTGGAGCATCTGTATTATCTCACTGTGTTATGCGGAACGATATCATGCCAACAGGAGTCTCTACTCGTACGATTTAGCTGGCAGCGGTGAAGTGGCAATGCTCCACCTTCTTCTCCAACGGTCACACATGACGGTCCCAACGGTTACAAGCAACTGTGCGCGTATTTTCTACTCGTATCCCTTCATCACCGAATGGAAATTTATAAACACATTCCTTACATGGAGTGGTTTGGTTGTCAACATACTGCAGGCCTAGGGAGAGGACTGTGAGGACTGTTAGGAAAGAGGGAAGGACCCCGGGGGAGATTTCCAGGGACACAGGCAGCATATCACTACAAGGAGACACATGTTTATCTGCTGAAGACCATCCTGAGAGCTTCTGAATAATTGCGCTTTCTAAATCTCGCGAATGTGTGAGTGTCACGACACATCCGCGATCTTCACGAACATGCTAAGCTGAAATACGATTATCTGCATGCTTACATGCAAATGTGTATTCAAGACAATGCACAGGAGGGGGGAGGGGGAGGGAAATTATAGTTACCACTCCGACTTTCACGGCCTGGGAGATCTGCAGGTGATGTGCTGGTAGCCATACAATTCAAGACAACAATAATGTGTGGCGGTACTTGCGGGTGCTCCAGGAGCAGAAAACCCTGCACGATGTCAATTCCCACTCATCTGCAAAAAATACCGGCCAAGGAGATTGGGGCAACCGATTGGGAACACTATAGCAGTGTAAATTTAGATCCGCACCGCTAATCTAAAGGAACTATAGAATTGTCACTTCAAGTTAGTTCTCACCCACATTTGCTCTAACGTTTATACGCAGTAACTGTGCTACATATGCTATCTGTGTCTCAAGGCTGCGAAGTCGTGCCAAACTCTTCGCTTCTCCCCCACCTACCATGGGCGCAATTCATGTCTGAAGTGTTCTAACGCACTAAAATGTAATATGCTATGAACCATTACTGAGCTCGTTTGCAAGGGTCAGATGGAGAGCACAGTATTGACAGAATAGTCCCCAATAACCATGATTACACCTCTACGTGTTGTGGTGACAAATTTACAAGCTTCCGTTCTTCTGCACGGGAGACTTGATAGTATTTCAGCTACCGGTATTTGAGTGGAAGACGACGCACAACTGTGTGTATGAGGTGATTGTTAGATGCGTTGCCTTGCAGTGCAACGCAATATGCCAAGGACTTTGACGAAGGATTGTCTAGCTAGAGTGTTTGCTGTCCTGAACTGGGCATCAGGCCATACACTACAAGGCCTGAGATCGTTTTGGGGCAAGGTCTCTTGCTTCGTGCCCATGCCCTCTGTCCCCTGTGCAATTACATAATACAACCATACATGTACTTGTCTCCTTGTGATTCTTCTCTTCCCCCCCCCCCCCCCCTCCCCCTGGACGTGTTTGCAGAACAGAGCGAGTAATGGAGCAATTTTCTCGTGAAACATGGACAACATAACCACCGTGCAGTAAGAGCTCAACACCTGTTTGCCGGTGGACCAAAGATGGTAGGAGCTTACTTGTTGTATGGCATGGGCAACTGCATTGGCCTCGCTTAAAAAATAAGATAATACAGTGGAGGTAGCTGACCGAATGAGTCTCATGAAGGTTAATTTACTGTTGAGTTTCGAAAACTGCCCATCCTTACCAACTGTTATGTCCTCTGGGCTGTGTCATTCTAGCAATCCGTTCCGATACTTATTTGAGCAATTCTCCTGGAGCAAATAGATCCCAGAGTAAGGGACAGTCCCCATGAACACATTTTATTCGTCGCGTTTGCATAGAATATTCTTATGCATACACTACCTAAGGATGGGTCAAACCCAGCATAAGTCTAGATACCTTCGCACCATTATCAAAGGCGCATCATCATTGATCATGCCGGGTACAGGTGAATCTACAAAATAATTAATGCTCTATGTTCTGCCTCGTCGACTGGGTTTCCCATAACGATTCATGCTCAGTGCATCGATCAGAGCTTGTTTTTATGTCATTACATCAATCCCAGAAGGAACCAGTGAGGTCACAGTTTGTTGCAGTGCATCATCTCTTGTACATAGTGAAGGGAGTGCGGGGAACTCAAAGAAACATTGCTGCCTGAAATAGGCCAACAATTTGTTTGGCTGCTGCGCAACCTTCAGTAAGGGCATATTATACCTATTTACTTCTGCTTGTCGAACTCAACCGACCAGTGCTTTCCTCGCCAAATCCACTACAGAGCATCTACTAGACAGTTTGCGACATGGAGAAGTATGAACCAATAGACTGTACGGACATCGACTTCAATACCAATGTTTCCCCATGAAACTTATTGAGTACAATTCTATGTACGTTGTGTAACAATCATAACATACAGTTCACCAGACAAGACGATTAAGTGATGTTAATCCAGCTGTTTATGATTATCACATTGGCATGCTTGCGGACCGTTTTGGGTTTTGGCCATGGGGAGTTTGCCAAGGATCTCGTGGTTCCCCGACCTACTGTCAAGGCCACTGGCCACAAGGAGGCAGGTGGCATGCGCGAGATTGACATGTCTGTCGTCTGTCACACTCCTGCGTCATCTCTGTTTGCCATCGGCTTGCTGTGCTATTTTCGGCTACAGGGCGGTGGCCTCAGCGTCCACTGCAAGACCGGGAAGGATCTAGAAGGCTGGTGCTCAAAGGCGCGCCACGCCTCTGATATGACTGGTGAGTAGCAAACACTACAATAGTATGGACGACACTCTAATGGTGCGGCCAACTGTAGCGCCATACCAATTCATGTGGCACGTTGAAGTACCCGTACGTAATTATTGTAGATCTACTACTACTGGTATTGCCTAGTGGCCCGGTATCAGTAGTTTTGCTAAAACTAACTCTGTGCCTGTGGTGATTTACTTCGCCATCCAAGATGCACAGTGTTGAATGTACTGTACATGATGAACTGGGGCGGGTGGGGGATGGGGGTGGGGCAGGCGGGCGAGTGGGGTCTTCCCAGGGGGAGGGGGTAGGGGAAGGTGTGGGTCTCCAGAACGTCATAATGATGATGGGCTCGCAATGTGTTCGCCCTGCAGTGGGCCTTAGCGGAAAATGCTCCAAAACATTGACAGATTCTGGTCGAAAACTCCTTCATCTTTGTGAAAACCGAACCTATGGCCGGACGGTGAGAAGGCAATCATGCCTGTGCAATTGGCGAAGTAAAATAAAAGTCAACAACAACAACAACAACAACAACAACAAAACCGAGAAGGGAGTAGTAAAATACCGGTATTTTACTACTCCTGCTGAGAAGCATTGAACCGTGCAAAGCTTGTGGTCCGTAAATCCAGACTCGTCGGCATTACCATGATTACGCCACACTTGGAGACTTCACGCATGGGCCATGACTCATGAGTAAGCCACATCATGTAAAAGTACATTGTAACAATGTACTTTGTACTTCAGGTCGCATGAGCCTCGCCAACCACATCGGTACATCGCTCCCACTCCCCTTTGTCTTGCTCTCCAGTGTCACTTCAGTCATTATCGTGTCACTTCAGTTGTCCTCTTTCCCTGATAGTAGGGCTGTGTTTAGGAATGGGTTTCGTACTGGAGGGCTCTGTTCGCTAGGGTTAAAAAAAAACAACCCCTCATCCTGAGCTCATCTTACAATGTACTGACTCAGTCACGTACAATGTACAGACTCAGTCACCATGGTCACGTACAATGTACAGACTCAGTCACGTACAATGTACAGACTCAGTCATGTACAATGTGTAAATGACTGTACATGTATATGTACATGATTGCACAGTTAGAGTACATGATTGTATTGTACTGTTCAGCCTTGGTCATACAGCCATTACACTGGAACGCAGTAACCAAACGAGAAGAGATGCTCAACAACAAGGAAGCGAACATAACGAAAGTGCCAAGGACTGTCTGTGTCTGTGACGGGGTACGCACCCATCACATTTTAACATCAAGGCTAACTGAATGAACTGTTTTGACCCTAATGGATCATCGCTCTAGCGTTATCATGGTTAGCATGGTTATGACTTGTCTGCACTGAGCGCTTGCCAACACACATGACCATAATTATTGTAGTCATCGTAACAAACAATCGCCAAATAGGTTTTGTTTGTTGTAATGACTGGCTCTAGCTCTGTGTATTGAATTATCTGAGCTGAGATTTACCATGCGTTTTATCCAGTGACTCTGTACTGACATGACCTGCAGGCAGTCAGATAATGACATGTCTGATTTATGGCCCTGCATGGCCTGATCCACATGTACTTCTACGACTCGCACTGTCGTAGATCCACGCTGAGGCACAGTCACAGTGCAGTGTCACTGTCAGACTGAGTGTAGACTACCGGCGGTACGAGTATGCGCGGCATCGTCGATGCTTCACGCGGCCGCGCGAAAAGACGGTCAACGCTGTTTGCGCGCAAGTCGATCAAACTAGCGAATGCCTCAAATACTTGAAAATATGCTAGATAGTAGATCTGTACGGAAAAGTCGACGAGTTGTAAGAAACGTCCTCGAGACTCTACTGTGAGTCTACATCATGTAGACTACCCAGTATAGTACGGTAGTATTTTCATAAAATAATGCCAAGAACATTATCACATCAGAATGCGAAGTTTTAAAATACTAGTACTAGTAGTAGTTGCGGATTGATGAAGCTCTCTGCTGGATATCGGTGGACTGGACTCCTACTTGCCTAGATATTTCAATGTTCAATCGCTAGCTAGCGCTGGTCCATCGAGTGCTCGCGATAAGTGTTATTAGTTATTCGTCCACGCTCTGTCGAAGTGGTCCGACGGACAGGAGAGCAATCAAATCAACACTACAAAAATCGTAGTCTGAGATCTACAGCCTACAGCTAGACTTCTTGCGTTTCGCCAGGCCAAGGGCAGCACTGAGCAGCTCGGCTCAGGTCGTCTTGAGCGGTCTGGTTATGACTAGGCAGTGAGGCCAGTCAACATAATCTCGTGCATGTGAGCTGTGTGGGAAACGGAGTTGTGCTTGGAAAGCGTGCAGCGTAGTCTTCACAGCGCTCAGCCATGGGCGATCATCAGGCACAGGAGACGTTTCCGCATCCTATGCGCCTGCAGATCGTGGTTCAGAGCAGTGGCGACACGATCGCCTATGATTACAACGTTAGCAAGCCCGTGTCTTTCGGGCAAGTCCTGGTACGTGATGGAACAAGTGATTTTGTTTTGTAATTACCTCCCCATCCTGGTTGTACCCTTTTTGCTGGTCGATCACTTTGCTGCCGAGTCTCATGGTTGGTGTATTTTTTTTCCTGTAGGGTCTCCTGGAACGTGTTAGTGTTACTGCGGAAAAGCCCAATGCCTTCGATTGTAAGTCATTCACCTGTGCTGAACGCTTACTGCACTTTGCTGGATTGGGTGTCGGGGGGGGGGGGGGATTGTGGGGTGTTGAAGCGAATCGGCCCGGCAGTTGCCGAATGCAGTGATCAGTTTCAGCCGATCTATCTCGTAGTTTTTGGAAATTTCGTACGGCTCCACAAGATCCAGGCATGGTGCGAGTGTTCAGTTCGTTATTTCGGCGGCAGAGCATACCAGCACACACCCAGCACACAGTACTACAGCGTTCATGAACTCTGAAAATCTGCAGAAGTAGGTTCCAGTAGCTGGCACTGTGCTGCCACACCGCCATTATGTGGCCGCACCTGACACATGCACTGGTTGAGGCTGTAGAGGCCTGACGGCATCGCCCAGCGAATTCGGAAGCGGCCGACTCCTGCTGTTGTGGTTAAATGCGTATTGCGAGTGGTGTGTACATACCTCCCACATCTGGCTTAGGCAAGCTGGCATTGCAGTACACATTATTGTGCAGTGAGTATTATTATGCCGATGTTCGTACCGATTGTCCTGAATTTGTTTACACCGCTTGCAACTTTCAGTACATTACTCTAGGTTTTTCATGGGCTGTGAGGTGTGAGGTTGGCGGTTCAGGATGTACTACAGGGCCATAGGCAGCGGTGAATTTGAAGTGGTTCCTAGTTATTTCCGGACTCTGGCTGCATGGTGTAAACTCCGCATAGCAGTCAAGGTGATTCAGGGCTGGCGCCACTGGCAGGCCAGGTCACGGCCATGGCCCTACCTGCTTTTACCAACTCCAGCGTTCATTGAATACTAGCACTAGTATTCAGTTTGCAGCTGACTACATTTGCGTGGAAGTACTGATAAGCTCTCCTCGTACACTCCTCGCTTCTTGTCCGGTGTATGTCTGTTGCAAGGGGAATGTGAACTGTAAATCAACAAATATTCGGCGCAAATTTATTTTCGACTATTTTGGCCTAAAATTTGTTGCGGCCGAAATTAGTTTTGCAAGGTTCTGACTTGCACAGCTGCTCTACTATGGCACTGGGATGCTATCCTAAGCTGTCTTTAGTTTAGGTTTGATGCTTGGAAGTGCATTTACAATCAGTAACATGTTAACATGTACTAGAGTATGCTAACTGATTCCTCTGTTTCTGCTTGCAGATTTGGATGATGAGAATGATCGAGTGACAGTCCGAAGTGACGATGAAGTGACTGCTATGACTGCAGCGGTAGGTTCCTCAGTTAGCATGGCAGCAGCATCTACTACCACTTATAGACCAATTGTAGTGCTCCCCAGATCGACCATCATACCAACAGCAGACACTGCTAGGATTCATGTTAGTCAGGAAAACATTCCAGGGGAATCTTTAAGCTGTGCACCAGGACAATACACCAATGCAGGCGTTATCAGTCATACCATCACTAGCCACTTAAAAGCAGATTTCTGGAGTACCGGTATTGACAATTCTATTCTGATGCTTGAAGTTTGCTATCAACTCGGTTTCAGTACATAGTAAGTTAAGGCATGCTGTATTGCTTTTTCACCATTCCATGGTGCTGCTTGTATTGTTGGTATGATGCTGCATGGCACTGGACAGGCTATATGGGTTCGAACAAGTTCTTGCTATAGAGTGGTTTCACACCAATCACATGACCATACGGGACAGCCGTGTTTGTTCCACTCTCCACATGCCATGCTTCCTCTCTGCACAAATTTAGTCACAGGATCCAGGTGTGAAGTCGAGTAAGCACTATTGTCCTGCATCTGAGTGACAGTGTTTCTTTCATGCTAGCAATGAATAGTTCTCATCAGTCCTGCCCCACCTACAATGTACATGGTGTGTGTGTGTGTGTGTGTGTGTGTGTGTTTCTTGCAGTACTTCTGGGAGTGTCAGCGGCAAGGAGAATATTCTCTGCAGATATACCCTCACTATCCACGTGAGTACAATAGTCATGTACTGTTATGTCTAGTCACCGTACTGTGTGGGCAGAGCAAAGGTGCTAGTCACCGTACTGAGAAATGGCTGCATTGAAAATTATGGAACATATTAAGCAGGGTACCAGGCAAAATTTCTTTTGTCCATTCATACCTCAAGACATGGACTTTTTACTTGTATGGCAATCCCACACTCCGAAACATGGACTGTGTATTTTTGTATGGGATTCCTCAAAAAGTAGTAGTAAAATATACTCCGCCCGAAATGCCGGCAATATACGTGTATTTTGCTACCTTTCTGCGACTCCTGTGTGTATTAGGCCAGCTGTTCAGCACGACTGAGAGACGCAATCCGCTTGGTCTGACGGTAAGTGTGTGTATGAGGCACTGAGTCTACACTCATCCGTCCATCATTTCTTGCAACTACCGTAATGTCGCGTATTACAGCGGGCCTTTTCCTGAAGAAGACGATGTCAGGGCTAGGCTTATATTCACATCGGGCTTGTATTCAAACCAGGTAGTTCTATGTATGTCAATACTAAAATCAGGCTTGTATTCAAAACAGGCGTCTACACCGGCGTCTACACGAAACAGGCTTTAATACAAGACACTACGGTATCTGTGTAGACTTAGTTTGAATTTGTTATGCCCATGCCTGGATGAAGAGCCGGGGCTTTCGGCCAGTATTGTGCGAGTGAAGGTTAACGTTATTGTGAAATCTTAATATCCATATCGAAGCATACCAATGTTTCTTTCAGTTCTCCTCAGAAAGATTTGCATCCAACGAATCTTTACAAACTGTGGAGAGTATCAGGGTTGCAGACATCAACACACGACCCTGATGGTCTGCATAGTTGTGCAAATACAGTGAAAGCTGGTTAAGAAGAACACTAATAAGACAACGGTGACTTTCGCTTTAGAAGAACTAGTGTTCATAACTCTATCCGATAACCACTGTGTATCCACTGGGTATAGAATATGGATAAGAAGAACTCCCGTTATTGCGAATAAATACCATTAGTCCTTGGTATTCGAAGACGTTTGACTGTACCTGTGTTAAGCCTCCGAGGTTGGGTGGTTGTTGCTTTTGCGTCGTCTAGCTGTGGTAAGTGTACCATCCAATGGTTGTGTCGTCCAGTCATCGTCCTAAGCAAGCATTCCGTGGAACCTTGGGATGTAGTTTTTGCTCGGCTCAATGTCGCATAGCCATAACCGTTTAGAGGGTGAAATTTATCCACTTCCCATTGGCTGTCACTTTAGGAGGTGCATGTGCCTTGATCCTTGCTGGTGGTGTTGTTCTGATCCTTGCGGCTGGTGGCGCTCTGACGGTTGCGGAAAAGTCAGTCTAACCGAGCCTCACCCGCTCCGTGAATGTTTTAATCCTCTTGTTGTTCGTGGTTCTGTGGTCATTGTGTGTGTGGTAATGTCCTCGTCACTATGGTCATTGTGTGTGTGTGTGTGTGTGTGTGTGTGTGTTGGGGGGGGGGGGGGTACTATGGTCATTGTGTGTGTGTGTGTGGGGGGGGGTACTATGGTCATTGTGTGTGTGTGTGTGTGTTGGGGGGGGGGGGGGGTACTATGGTCATTGTGTGTGTGTGTGTGTGGGGGGGGGGGTACTATGGTCATCGTGTGTGTGTGGGTACTGTGGTCATTGTGCGTGTGTGCTGCTCTCTTGTTTCTAACTGTTCCTGCAGGTAAACCCAGCAGCACCACCGCGTCCGACACCCGTTGTCAGAGAAGTCCGGCCGTAAGTGTTCCTCACATGACCATGCTTACTATGAAGAAAACCGAGGACTGGACATGTGTGTGTGTGTGTGTGTGTGTGTGTGTGTACCACAGAATGAACTCACTGTATGCCCGAATTCCAGTCAGTATCAGCATTTCTCTCAATTGTATTCAGTGCAAGTTGCTTAGGGGTCGTCGTAAAAGTTTTTTGTCGTCCCTGAAACGAACATCGTTCATTTTGTACTCGGACCCCTCCCCTCCCTCTGAAACGAACACAGCTTGCTATGCTGGACGACGGAAATCGCATTCATGTACATGTCATATGTACAGTGTCGGTCGACTTGCGATTTTGGCTCACACCCCTCCCCCCCCCCCCCCCCCCCCAATGAATCATGTTCGTTTCAGGGACGACAAAAAACTTTTGCGACGACCCCTTACGCAAACGTCTTTGTGCATTGTGAGCATGTGTCAGGAAATTCTGAATTGATTCTTGGTTGGAGGAAAGCAAATCAAAAATTCAACACCAACCAAACCGGCAGCCCTGCTTGACTCACATGCCCATGGAAATCAGTCTTCAATATGCACAATTCATTTTTTTAATTTATTTGCTTTGTTTCCCTCTAGACCGCCTCGCAGTGAACGCTCCAATGCCGTCGACATCATGGAAATCTTGCAGTCAGCACCTGTAAGATACTGCGCTGTTCTGGCTTTCGCATCTCTGTTTTGTCCCAAGTTCTTGTGTTGCCTGCTGGTGATTATCTCCATTGTGGCATGGCACATTCTTTGTCAGTGTGTGCACCAGTTGCCCGTAGTTTCAATGGGCCGTGTAAATTAGAGCGTATGAATGCTAAGTCCCTTCTGGAGTATTTGATCAGTTTTGTCAGTGTCTCGTTTCACTGCAGTGTGTTGTGTGTGTGTTTTTCATTCTAGATCGAACCAAGTGATATTCAATATCTTGAGATTCTTGGCCATGGCAATGGGGGCACGGTTTATCGGTGAGTTATATTGGGTGACTTTCATCCTCCCGGTGTGTTTACTACCGTGCATTCATTGGCTTAGGCCCATGCCGTTTAAAGTATGCATCATGTAATGATCCTGCTTGTGTTGCTGACCCTGGCTGCTTGTGGTGCATGAAGGGATTGCATCGACTTATGTTTCCATACTCATACAGCTACAGATTTACTCCATGCCTGAGGGGAAGGACATAGTCAGGGTCGGCTGTGTGAACGTAGTACGTTATTGCTCTGATCTAGCTGGTTGCAGGACGAAGATCAGGCACAGCGTAGAGTCGAGCACCGTTGTGGTTCGCAGGCACGGTTGTCAATTGGTTGCGTGACGCTGAACACTGTAGATACGCTACATGATTAGTGTGATGGTGTATGGCGTACTGGGTACAGAGTACTGGTGACAGCATAGCCGGAGGTCACGTTTTCAGCACAGCCCACTGAAGCGATCGAGCCAGAAGACAGGGAAGTGATTCGCGCGGTGCTCATGGCCAAGTGGAACACATTGAGCACTTCCCGGCAGCAGAAAGAACGTTGGGGACCTAGTACAACCTACAAATGTGGAAAATAAAGTACCTCTCGACCTGCTGTGGCAACTCTGCCTGAAAATGTGGGGGGAGGTTACAGGACGTTTTACACTAAAACTGATTCTTAATTTTTCGATGCCTGCAGATGCCCTCTAACATGCCTATCCTCTACTTACCTGGCTGGCTGTTGTGTTTGCATGTTCTGGTGTAGTGCTCACCACCGGAGAATACCGCCACCTTTCAACATGGCAGTGAAGGTTAGTACACACACACACACACACGCACACACACACACACACACACACACACACACACACACACACACACACACACACACACACACGCACACACACAGATACATGTAGCAGTATGTTGGAACCGTAATGTCCTGCCATACCCGGCATGTCAATACCACTGAGGAGCTAGCGTATAGCACGGACGTGATCGATGATGAGCATAACTGTGTTAGTTGTGATCAAGGTGGCTGTAGTTATCTGGTTGACCTGCTAGCAATTGCCATTACACTGAGTTCTGATACATAGAGCAGGGAAATAGTCAGCACCGGTCGGCTCAACCGAATAACTGTCGGTTGGGTAATATTAGCATTGGTTGGTTTCAAATGCCAGCATACACTCACGACTCCTAAGTTCTGCCTAGGCAGACCACTGCCGTTCGAAACGGACTGACCCTCCGTTGGGCAGGCTACCCTTCACAAGAATGGTGATCATCGACGAACATGAGCATCCTGGACTGTAGCACAGGCTTATCGGGTTTCCTTTGTCTAGAGTCCATTGTTGCAAGGACAGTAGCTTGTTATCTCTCCAACACCTTCACAACCAAGGTCTTCCACTGCAATTGCAATTTAATTAGTCTCCAAATTGTCGCCCCTGGGGTTTCATTAAGGAGTATTACGATAGTATAGTAGCCTGCATAGGAATAGCAATGCCTGGTACATGCCGGACTAGCAGTGCAGGTATACATTGCTTCCAGTACGATCCTGTAGGCAGCTGGTGGCTGTTGTTCTGGTAAACCTCGCCCTCTGCATTGCCTTCTATTCCTCATTGTCTGTTTCAGCTCATTCCTGTGGATGTGACCGAGGAAGTACAACAGCAGATCATGTCCGAGTTGGCAATTCTGCACCAGGTACATACTGTGTCTCACATATCCACGGACTATCTGTTATAAGCACTTTCTGTTCTGAGCATAGCTATTGGGACGGGTTGTGGGTGGTTATCGATAAAAGGACAGCGGCTTCTTGGTTTGCATGTGATGAAGTGATTGTGGTACAAGTCTCGTTTTGATCTGCTTACTTTGCGATTGCCAGCAACTGGATATGCTACTGTGTGTCGTACTGTAGTGTGCTGAACGGCTGGAGTACAAAGACGGCTTGTGTGTGTGTGTGTGTGTGTGTGTGTGTGTGTGTGTGTGTGTGTGTGTTGTGCTGTTGCCTTGCTTGGAATTGTTACGTGCGTGGTTTCTCCGCCAGTGCAGCATAGAGTGTACTACTGGCTGCCTATCCACTCTGTTGGATATTTAATAGAGGCTATGCCGTGGTTCGCAGCAGCAAGGCTGGCCTGGCCTTCACTCCAGAAGTTGTTGGCCAATGCCTGCATGCAGGGGCACTGTGCTGTACATGGTATTCTGTATAGTATTGCTGCTTACTGATAGGCTTATAACAGGATTTTGTGCTTTGTTGCTTGATCCGCGTCCTACTGCAGTGCAAGAGCGAGTACGTCATTCACTTCTTTGGAGCATTCTTCACCGAAAACAGGTCAGCGGCGTTTAGGAATGTACTTGGTTTGTGTGTGTGTATGTTTGTGTGTGTGTGTATGTTTGTGTGTGTGTGTTTGTGTGTGTGTGTGTGTGTGTGTGTGTGTGTGTGTATGTGTGTGTGTGTGTGTATGTTTGTGGGCATTGACATGTACAAGGTTATTATTTCTCTTGTCATGAGTTGCTGATCAACTATCAATCCTGCGAGGAAGTAGCATCTGGCCATTCTTACCTATACTCTGTAACGTTGTATTTCAAGAAATATTGCACGGCTCGTGTGGGACTCAGTTAGGCCGAGGTTTCCGCACCCGTGGGAACGCCACCACCCTCAAGTATTACAAAGTAACAGTACAATGTGAATCACTGTCACACATGGATGTGACTCTTCTGCTGGATCTACATGTATATGGTGTGACTATTTGCCCGCCACATGGACATGGTATGACCAGTGCAGCAACTCACTGGAAAGCATCAATGGTTCAGGCCTGAGCAGCCGTGATCAATTTTCCATCTGGATTCTTTGTCACTCTGCTGTGTGTATGTGTATGTGTGTGTGTGTTCTGTAGAATATCAATATGCACAGAGTACATGGATGGTGAGTCTGCTTGTAGCATTATAGCCACATTTTCTAACACAGCAGAGTAGCAGGGGCATCACACACGGTACAACCAGTATCACCATGGTCGTACCACTTTTCGTCCAGGGTGGTCCACCCAGAGCGCCTGAAGAGCACTAAAACGTACCCTGTTGGCCGAAAACTCTGATTACTTTCCCCCGCGGGGCATCAAGCACCAAGGGTGACAACACCAGATTGTAGTACCCGAAATAGGTCTGTATTTGCCCAAAGAGTGGTCTACTCGTATGCAACTTGCGAGTGCGTTCGCGGCGTTGGCCCGCTGACACCAAGCTATATACGAGCGTGTATATATCAGCCTTGCCCCGGGGGCGACTGTGGCGGGCAGCCCGGGGTCGAAACCCACATGATCTATTTATCACCGTTACAGTCACCTGTGTTGTCCCCCTAGATGTTATGGCTCACTGATGTACACATGAGCAGCTCTGGTCTACACTTAATTGTACTGTGTGATAATAATAATTCTAGCTGTGAGCGCCCGATTCTGTCTGTCTCGTGGCCAGCTCCAGCCGTCATCTGCGCTTGAATTTTCTCATCAATGTAATGACAGGCATGGTCGTGTCGTGTGACTGTATGCTGTGTTTGCACAGGTGGTTCCTTAGATCGATATGTTCCCATTCCGGAGAATGTTCTGGGCAGAGTTGCAGTGCAGGTAAATGGTTTGGGATACCGGTATGTCTGAAGATGTGTGTACTCTCATATGCTGCTGGGATGCGTGTCCTTGTTGTCCCGATTGATTGGCGCTTGCGCTACTGTCAACTGTCTTAAATGTGGTTTGTGTGTGTGCATGCGCGTGTGTGTGTTTGTGTGTGTGTGTGTGTGTGTGTGTGTGTGTGTGCGCGCGCATGCGCGTGCGTGCGCGTGTGTGCGTGTGTGTGTGATCTGCAGGTTGTGAAGGGCATGGTGTATCTATGGCACCAGGGAAATGGTCCTATCATGCACAGAGGTAGGTAGTGGGCAGTGGGTAGTGCTGCTACAAGTTGGTATCCACACAGACACAGTACTGTTGTTCAACCTTACCTAATTTGAGCGACATACCGTATTTTCTGGAGTTTAAGCTGCAACCAGATATTGTGTCACGAACGCATCTACCCTATACTAGTATCCAGTAAAACGTGGTTTAAGCGACCACCTGCTCTTAACGACCGTTTTTCCATGCACAGACAGTTCTACACACACACTGTGGGACGTGGTTCTAAAGACCACCTGTCTTTAACGACCGCTTTTCCTTGCACCGTGTGGGTGGTGCACTGTGGGGTGGTCGCTTAACCCTTTGCATGCTGAGCCCCTTTTCTCCAATCCACTGGCTTTCCAGCGCACTGACTCTCTTGGTGGAGTATGCACGCACAGCTCCGAACGAAATTTATTCTCATTTTTCTCCACCTTGATGGATTTTCATCGTCCTGGGCTCGTTGGAAAGATCAGGACCAAGCAAATCCATCCTGGCAGCTATCAGCTCCATGGCCACATCAGGTCCACTTCCACGTCCTCTCCAAACTACTCCACCATGCCTCGGAACGGTACAACAACTCAAGTTCACATTCTTGTTCGCCTTCTTGCCCAAATTCAACAGATTTTCACAATTCAAACTGCGCTGCAAAGCTCAGATCCAAGCGCTTCATTTGATGTCGATCACGCATGCGCCGTGCCAAAGGGAAATCCCCTGACACGCTCCTCAACAAGAAGAAGTCATGAACAAAAAAGTTCGGGTTCACTCTGGGCCGTGATTTCCGTGTTCATCTTGTCGCCGCTCAATGAATTCTTATCCTATCGCAAAGAACTTTATATCTCCTGAAAGATGAGGTCAAGATCTTTCCAACGGTGTATTGATTGTCGCGATGCGTTTATGTTTGGCGAAGTTACGGAAGTTTGTACACTGGTCTATGCACTGCAATATATCGCGCGATATTTTTGCGAGTTAAAGGGGAAGTTAAGGCAAAAATTAAAATTTCACCAGTTGTAGTCTTCGGGGTGCTGAGTCGAATGGTCTTGGTCCGAGAAAGCTGAGACGCTCCCTTCCTACTTGAATCCCAATCGAACTCGCGCACTTCCACCGAAACTGGGTGACTGCGCCCTACTAGATGGGGATTTGTATGCAAAATGTCACTAAAAGCGCCATTTCGTTCTTATAAAAGCACGGATGACCGCGATTGGCCCATATGTTGTAGTCTTTTGGACGCTGAGTCGATTGGTTTTGGTCCGAAAAGGCTGCGATGCAGCGTTCCTGCTTTATTCCCAATCGAACATGGTTGAACAAGCGGTCACGTGCTCCTGGGTGCCCAAATCACCTGGTCACCACGCCAGCAGGCAACAACTTTCACACCAAGGTTCAACTCGAGTGACAGGACTGCACCCAAAAAAGGTCAAACAGGCTAGTAAGTTGTACCCTGCAGGCACGGTGACCAGGTGACTGGTGTACGCAGGAGCACGTGACCGCTTGTGCAACCATGTTCGATTGGGAATAAAGGAGGAACGCTGCATCGCAGCCTTTTCGGACCAAAACCAATCGACTCAGCGTCCAAAAGACTACAACATATGGGCCAATCGCGGTCATCCGTGCTTTTATAAGAACGAAATGGCGCTTTTAGTGACATTTTGCATACAAATCCCCATCTAGTAGGGCGCAGTTACCCAGTTTCGGTGGAAGTGCGCGAGTTCGATTGGGATTCAAGTAGGAAGGGAGCGTCTCAGCTTTCTCGGACCAAGACCATTCGAGTCAGCACCCCGAAGACTACAACTGTTGAAATTTTAATTTTTGCCTTAACTTCCCCTTTAACTCGTACGTAGTGGATCAGGTCATGCATAAAGTGCGAGTTAACTCGTACTCAGCACGCAAAGGGTTAAACCAGGTTTTACTGTATCACCATTCATTTGGCCGCTGTAGTATAGACCGCACTGACTTGGGCTGTGGGTCATGTGCAATATCCATGCCATACTGGCCTCTGTTGTTCGGGATGACTGCCAATTGCCCTATCAGTAGTAACATCAATTCTTGAACTGCACCCTTGCGCGTTCACCTTAGCTCTTGTTGTGAATGGCAAACAGTGGATTCTATCCGATGGACTTAGCTGTCGGTGATCTGTAGCTAAACCTGTCTGCCGGCTCTCACCTGCGTTTCATTCCGAACGTGTTTGTGTGCAGATATCAAGCCCTCCAATATCCTAGTCAATCTCAATGGTGCCGTCAAGCTGTGCGACTTTGGTGTGAGTGTACAGCTGGTGAATTCCATCGCGCGTACCTTTGTTGGCACCAACGCTTACATGGCAGTAAGTTACAATTTATTTTCTAGGGACTTTCCCTGTTCAGTCTTTGCCTGGCTATCATGAAACCCGCATTGTTGTAACTGTATCCGGCATGTAGCTGGGGTTATCAAACGGGATTTCCCCAGATATTTTTTATGACATGTACAAAGAAAGAACACGTGGGTACGAGTTCCGAATGACAATCCATCAATTGAGCCGTGCAGATAATGAACACCTAGAAAGTGTGACAACTGGTCACTGGTCACTCTGACAAGTAGCGTCTGTGACGTTCGTCAACTTCACACCGACCTCACCTTTCTCTTATAGTTTTGGCAACACCCGAACTGTATGTACAGAGAGAGAGAGAAGTACAGGTATATGTCAGCAGTATACATGTTAGCTTCTATTTAGAGGGACCTGGTCTCTTTGCGATGGGACCCCCCCCCCCCCCCCTCCCCCCGTTCGTGCCCTACCTCCCTGAAACCTTTGACTCAGCAGACGTGCAAGACAGCACCACTCCAGTTGAGCCAAAGTGGTGCTTTTTGGCAGGTTTACGGCTATTAATGGCGGTCGTGAGTCGGCCAAGTGCTATATATTAAGTCTCGTTGGCGGGAAAATTGAGAGCTTGGACGTTGCAAGCAACTTCCTAAGAATGGTGTTGTTTCCTGAAATATGGAACAGCAGGGCAGGTTCCTGTTGCTGCCACTGTGCAGTGTTTGAACTTAGCCATGCCCACGGGGATTGCTAACCAGGGATACGAGAGTACCGTGGGCATGCTTTGTTGCCAGACACAAGTACTGTATCCGCACAGTCTGCGGAAAAAATGCAACGTCTATACTTACCACGTGGCTATGTCAATGTTTTCGTCGCTTTTCTTGCTCTTTCTGATATTTGCAGCCTGAGCGAATACAGGGTGAACCGTACAGCATCAACTCTGAGATTTGGAGCCTGGGAATCTCAATTGTAGAGGTACACACACTAAAAGCTACCCATGATCATTGTACACATTGTTAGATCCTCATCACACCTGTTACACTTTTGCTGTAGTGTGATACTGATTTATTGCCATCATGCCTATGCTCCATTGGGTGCAATACCTACTAGAATTAGGCATCTCTCCAAGTTGTTCTCTAATCTATATCCATGGCCTCACGTGTGTGTGCATGTGTGTGCGCGTATGTGTTTTGTTGTTGTGTGTGGTACATGGTGTATGTGTGTATGCATGTGTGTGTGTGCGTGTGTGTGTGTGTGTGTGTGTGTGTGTGTGTGTGCGTGTGTGTGTGTGTGTGTGTGTGTGTGTGTGTATGTGTATGCGTGTGTGTGTGTGCGTGGGTGTGTGCGCGGATGTGTGCGGGTGTGATGTTTTTTGGTTAGATGGCAATCGGAAGATTCCCATATCCAGCAGTAAGTAGTGCTAGTTCATGCAGTTCAGGATTGACTTCTAACTGTTAATGTGTATGACAAAATTAACAGGTGCATGCATTTGACCACTTACCTTTATAATTCTAGTCAGCCTTCAGTTCCATGACCAAGTTTGTGTGCTGCTGATGTATCATACTGCATAAAACGTTAGCTCTGTGGAGATTGTACAACGTATCCATGAATATGCTCCGCGCCCATACCTCCGTGTTAATACAAAGCCAGTGAGAAGTGCTGTGTTGGACCTAAGTGACCACCCATGGTGCTCCAAAACCAGTGTACATGTATAAGTAGACACCGCAGCTGGACTGTCGCCAGTGCCTCTAAACTCCAAATTGATGTATATGTTCATGCACAGACCCGGCCGGTGAAATTATATGTCATTCGGATCTTCCCAAGTTGTACAATGTACTGTTGATATACCGAATTCAAATAAATCAATACCATACCATACCAAATTCATGCCATGTATGAAGCAGTGCTGCAACATGCCTGTATTGACCAATGTGCACTAGCCAGCCACATCAACTCTGCGTTCAGGAATGTATAGTCCGCCGTATCAACATGTCTGTGTTTGCTGTTCGTTTATTTTCTTCCTGCTGCCAACAGAACAGTGCGGAACAGCCACCTGTGTTGGTAAGTAGCCTTTACATGTATCCAGTACCTTGTACAGTAAAACCTGTCAGGGCGACCACTCGGATAAGGCGACCACCTGTTCTAGAAGACCACTGCAACCGGGACCAAGGGGTGCTATTTCCAGTCAATTGACCCTGGATAAGGCGACCACCTGGTGCCGACAGAGACCACATTTTGAAGGTCCCTTGAGCGGTCGTCTTAGACAGGTTTCACTGTACCTTGTACATGTATTAAGTACTCGTACGGTCCTACTAACACCATGTACATGTACATGCATCAAGTACTCTGCGTACAGCCGCACTAACCGCTACACTGTGCCGCTCAGTGAATGCACTATCAGTTACATTGTGCTGCTCAGTGAATGCCAGTCATGTGACTGTCCAATACGTGGAAGTACACGCCAGGCGCTGTGTAGCCCTGGACCAATGAACACTCAGCACCGTAGAAGACAATTTTGTGTAAATTGCTTCTTTGGGGTAGCTTCTCATAAAGATCCACTAGTTTCTCAAAGCTACCCCGCACCCCATACAACCAACTACCCCCACCCCACCCCACTACCCCCGCCACCCCACCCCACCACCTCCGCCGCCCCACCCCACTACCCCCACCCCACTCTGTAGCAAAGGAAAGCAATCCAGCTTGGTTCCCCGCTCCTTCCACTCCTGGCCACCAGCAACTTCTGTTGAGTGTGCTAGTTTCCCACCGGGATAAGATATTCCTAACTTTGCATGGTTTTGCTGTGGGCACTGCTGACAATGAATAGCCTCACCACACAGAGCAGTGTCCACATTCTCGTATGTGTATGCTTAGTAAGCAATGGTAATGAAAAATTGAAAATTGTACAGTGTACTCGCTGACAGGAAGTGGACAATATCTCTGCCAGCAGATCCTGATTGTGCACTTGCTCCTCTCCGTTGTATGTACATGCAGTAAGAAATATACTTGCAGTGTATGTGGATCACATGATGTGATGTGTTTGCCGACGGAGAGCCATGTGTGGCGTTACACACTCTTTGGGAAGTTGCGCATTCTTGCTAGCACGTAACATGCGTGTATGTTTCTATCCGTTGATTTCAGGCTATTGAACTTCTTCAAATGGTCGTGTACGAGGTAAGTTGTAGACTGCATGCCACTTAGTCAGTACTACTAAATCAGTACGGTGGCATACCATGAACATGCCGGCATCCCTTAACCATATTGATCTACATTTATACCTAGTCAAACCGGAACTGATCATGGTGTGCTTTCAGAGCCTCTCATCTGTATTCATATGTTTGCTTGCCAAAGAAAGTGCTCAGGATGTTACTGCTAAGTGGTCTCCCATGTTGCACGTATGAACGGGTCCAGATTTCACTTGTCACAACTCTGTTAGTGGTTGTCCTAGTGTAGTTGGAGCCTGTTTTTTTTACTTGTTTTGCCCCGCAACATACCATCTCATTACCATCTCATTCTGTGGCAGGATGGCACCAAGTATACACTGTGTGTGTGTGTGTGTGTGTGTGTGTGTGTGTGTGTGTGTGTGTGTGTATGTGTGTGTGTGTGCATGTGTGTGTGTGTGGGTGTGTGTATGTGTGTGTGGGTGTGTGCACGTGTGTGTGCACGTGTGTGTGTGCACGTGTGTGTGTGTGTGTGTGTGTGTGTGTGTGTGTGTGTGTGTGTGTGTGTGTGTGTGTGTGTGTGTGTGTGTGTGTGTGTGTGTGTGCTCATGTCACAGTGTGTATGTATGGTAGAGTGTGGAAGGGGAAAAAAGTTGTTGGTTTGGATCAAGTGCACACATGATATGCATGTAACACATGTGTTCTTGTATATACATTGTTATGTGTCGCAGGATCCACCGGCTTTGCCTGTGCCTGAGTTCTCGATGCTGTTCTCGGACTTCTGTTCCCAATGGTCAGTAATGCTCTGTGTTCCTTGTGTGTATGCTCCTGCCTAGTGTTAGCATGGTGTATGCGGACTTTCAAGAAAAATGGGGTAGAAAACTGCTCATCATCAGGCTTATAAACATATTACTGTTGATTGATCTAAGTCAGACTAGTCTTTCTTTGGAGGTGTGATCTTACCTCTGTACATGAAGCGGTTCATCAGCCTTCCATCACTTCTCACTGTGACGTATGACACGCCACACGGAACATGCTCAGCATCTCGAACGGTGCGTGGGCCATGCTGCGCCGAACATGGCGTCACCAGGCATTCAGTGTCAGCGTAGATGACGTAGGGCATTTTCATCACCTTGACGATATCCTTGAACATCAATTTCTCACCCAGCTCTGGCATTTCAACGACAGCAAACTTTGCATCTTTGCAGTACTGTTGGTGTCGTTCGAGCGTCTCGACACTGTTGTGTGAAGAGAGGCAACGCATGCAGAAATGAACTCATGCCTTCTTCTTCCGCTGATATAGTTGGTTACTCAATCAACGTGATCGGCTGCCGGGTGTAGTGCTGATAGAATAGCCCACTTCAGACATTGATCGTCATGGTTCCTCACGTTGACGACTGCTCTCGATGCGGCTATAGTTTTTGATATTGGCAGATAGGATGAGATCCGCATCGGTCGGTAGCGAGCAATGTCCAAGTGGACGCTCTTCACTTGGATTACCACCCAACCGGATCCTTCACGAATCCAGGCTTCCAGCTTCTGAATAATGTGGTCGATGGACGACTTCAGTACGTCCTCCACTTCCAAGGGTTGAAGTACAGTGTGTGCTTTACTCCGGAAAAATGGAGAGGTGACGGAGGATCGACTGGTCGCGTCGACCTTCTCCATCTGTACGCAGGCCACCAGCATGGCTTTGTACTGTTGCGTCTGCAGCTCGTACACCATTGTTTCCGGCACTACACACAGTGGTGCATGGGTGCGTTGTTGAGCTGCAGTGATTCATGAGATCTAGCTAAGGCTGAAGCAGGGAGGCTCCCAGCCTCCATCCTCCCCAGGTACATAGGCACACCACCTCGATATGAGTCCCAGCAAACATTCCTGGTTCTCGTGAGACCCAGTCGGACGGAGGTTCTACATCCGTAGGAACGCCACCACTGGCCTATTTGATAGGGTGATGCTCCGGGTGGACAGGGGTGGTGGGTTCAAATCCCGCCCACGGTCCTTCTGTTGCAACATTGGCGCCTGGCTATGGCTCGAACCCTAGACCCATCGTACCCCACGAGCAGGTGCGGCGTGAGGACACAGCCTGTTGGGGCGTGTGTGTGTGTGTGTGTGTGTGTGTGTCGATTTGCAGTCAATTTCCAATCGAGAGGTTGCGGGTTCAATTCCCGAGGATTAATGGTCGCACACGTCTTTCTTCTCTTTCTCATTCTCCTAGCTCTTCTTTCATTCTCCTGGGTGGTTACCAACAGCCAGTGTATGCGGAGTATGTGGTGTGGCGTGTGTGTCGAAAAAAATGAAAAAATGAAGAAAAAAATGAAAAATAGGTATTCACTGGCCAAAAGCCACTTCAATCAGCTGTGTGGTGGATACCAGGCTAAACTTAGTGGCGGTCAATTCATCAGCCTTGCAAGCTGTTTGATAAATATGGTGGTAAAGACACACCTGGCAATATGGCCATATTTATCAACCATAAGTACAGCTGCAGTGGGGTCTTCAACTTCATTCTTGCAAGCTGTTGAATGGTGTAATCCCAGCACAAGTTGCTATGTCTAACATAGCTGTTCGCTATCATCGCTTCCGCGATGGGCATGTCTGAGTCTGAGTGTGTGTGACCTAGTTCGGTTGGTAGGTACACTTATGCCTGATTGTGTTGGGTCTGTTGCCAACAGGCTCGGCTGCTTGAAGGTGTAATGTTGTACCTGCCACCTTTGTTGGTTTCAGGGTTCATATACTTTCTATTTGAAGTATGCATACCTGTGGACCATGGACTACTTCTGGGTAGATTAACTCTTCTGTAATCAATGGTGCTACGGTGAAGCTTATATCAGATCCACTCTGATTTTAGCCACTCACGCTAGTAGGAAGTATTACCTTCACTGGGGGCAGGGGTAACTGCAGTTGGATCCCGGGACGGATACCCTGATGCCGTCAATCCTTTTTCAAGGCCACACACACACACACACACACACACACACACACACACACACACACACACACACACACACACACACATACACACACACTGTACGTGTTGCTCACTGCCAAAACTGGTCACGTGAGTCCCTCCGCCGGGAGAGGGGAGAGAGAGACTCAAAAGGAATCTTGGAAAGATGACTCAACTGGTTATCGAACCGCCCAACGGCCGACACCCCCTGAAATCCCTAAAACTCTGGGTGGCACAAATGATGGTGTACTAGCTGTGCTAGTACTTGTTAGCAACAATCCGAACTAGCGCACACACTGCACTGCATTGCTTTGTACTGCATTCAAGACTGACGTCATGCGCTTTGTTTTGCTGCGTAATCACAAATGGCACCAGCCCATTTTGCCGAAAAGAAAAACAAATCTTGCTTGCCCTGTTGTGCTCTTCCAGACAACGGATCGTGCTTCAGCAGTGTTTCTTTTCCTTTCGTAGCTTTGCTGCCAGCCCGAGTGTCACCTCGACACTGTATTTCTTCAGTATGTCTGACCTAACTGTCGACACTGTCAAGGCAATGCCTTGCCAAGCCCCCGCGGCGAGCCTTCTCAGCGCGGCTTGAATCCGAAAGGAAACTAATACTTAGTAAAAGTATTTTACAGGACCGTTTGCTGGCACAACTAGCCCTTGGTAGTGAGGTCTGCTCCGGCCAGGAGAACCAGCAACATGACAGTGCGGACACGGCTCGCGAGCCCAGAAGCCCGACTTGCACCAATGCCTCCTCCGCCAGCTCAGGTGACGCGGGCTCAACATGGGATCTGCGCTCCCGTAGATCTACGTGACGAGGTGTAGTCGGCTTTGTCGGCCGCCATTTTATTATTATCGGAGAGCATTGTGCCGCTCCTCACCCAAGGCCAAGGCAATGCGGCTGCTGCCGCCACTACGCCAGGCCAAGCCCTTGTAACCCACCCGATCAGCCACCTGCACCAGCTGTGCCCAAGGCTGTGCAAGAACGTATCTTGCGAGGGGAGTTCGTAGATTTTTCAAGTTGGTTGCCTGAAATTCTTGCACACTTCCGGCCCAACATTCCGGCTGGTGCACAGCCCGAATAACGATAGCCAGCTAAATATCGTTGAGTCGGATGACCGTACGCGAAGCAGGTGCGTCGCAAGGTTCACGATAATTATACATGTAACTACCCGGCTCGAGGCATGGACCACATACATGTCTGTTATCACGGCTGCTGCCCTACACCGCACTGCTGAACTGCTGAACTGATTGCGTACCAGCAGTTGATCCTGACTGCTAACCGCCAGTTCTTCCCAAGCGCCTGGGTAGAGTACGACCGCCAGCTGCGGCTGCTCGTGGCCCAGTAACCAGGCACGAAGAGGTTGGACACCATCGACGTGAACCTATGGCAGATAGCTGTCACAGGCCATGCACACCCAAAATGCGCTCAATGTAAGACGGCCCATCCAGGGGCGGTTTGTGTCCTTTTCGTCCCCAAGCCAGCAGCATTTACCTCCAGTGGTCGCAACCATACTAGCGACAGCCAAGAAATCTGCCGCAACTTCAATGGAGGTCGCTGTTCTTCGTCGTCGTGCCGCTTCTCCCACACCTGCAGCCAGTGTGGCAAGGACCACCCATGCATCATGTGCAACCAGCAGCAGCGCGGAGCCAATCGGCCACCCTGCCGCTCCTAGCAGAATGGCTACTGAATAGCTTGACTCGGTACGTAGCTTCTTTCCTATACACTCTGCAGACACCACACTGCTAGCTGACCACTTTGCCCGCCTGTTACGTAACCACTCATATCAATAATGCGTTGCGTATGTTCTCCATGGGCTGCGCCGTGGCTTTACTCTTGGATCTGCCGGCCAACACGACATTTCGGTTTTCTCTAATAATCTACCCTTGGCTTTCACTCACTCGGCATTTATATCCGAGCAATTAGCTGCTTCCTGCGCCCGCAGCGAGACCACAGGCCCATTTCCGTCACCTCCATTTCAGTTCATGCGCCGCTCTGGTATTGGTGCCATCCCCAAAAAAGAACGGCAAGCTGCGAATGATCCACCATCTGTCTAGTCCGGAAGGCACCGGCGCGAACGACAGCATTCCTGCCGAGCCGCTCTCTCTGCACTACGCGAGCATTGACAACGCGATCAACATCATCATGTCATGCCCACAGCCTGTGTATTTGTCCAAGCTCGATGTACGCAGTGCATTTCGGCAGATCCCAGTCCGCCGTCAGGACTTCGCTGGGAAGGCTCCTACTACTACGAGCGCTTTCTGCCTTTCGGCCTCCGCTCCAGCCCAGCCGTCTTTGACTCAGTAGCCACAGCAGTCAACTGGATCATGCAGCACGAGTTTGCTATAGATCACCGGCTTCATTACCTCGATGACTTTCTCGATATCTCCACTGGTTTGGCTGCAGCCAACCAGCAACTCACCACCCCCCTCCGGGCATTCACGTATCTCGGCACTCCTCTTTGCTCCATCCCAGCTCGAGGGCCATCACCATCATTGACCTTGGTATTTTCCTAGACTGCGGCTACCAGAGGACAAGCTGTCCGAGATCCGTGCGCTACTCATGGCTACTATCAGCGAGCTCAGCATCGGCCAGCGTCAACTCGAGTCCCTCCTGGGGAAGCTCACTTTTGCTGCCCGAGTCATTGTTCCTGGACACACATTCATGCGTGAACTATGATCAGCGTGCCCTGAACTGTATCTGTGTATGCGAGTGCGGTGCATAAAGCCCACCTTGAGAATGGGTTTGCCGGCCCCTTAGTAGATGCGTGGCTTCTGGAGAGGGTGTTGAAGGGCATCCAGCGATGCCATGGTACGGCTGTACTCACCCCTCGCCTTCCTATAACTATGCCAATCCTACGACACCTGACGGATGCACGCCGGAAAAGTAGTATCCTGAATGGCCATGACAAGCTGCTCTACCAAGCCGCCATGCTGCTTCTTTGGATTTCTTCGGTGTGGTGAATTCACTAATGGCATCACACGGGGCTGTACTAGCTCCCCTGGTGACGGACGCTTGCAACTCTTCCTGCTTTCATCCAAGACGGACCCATTCGGTAAAGGCGTTACTAGTGACATTGGCCCGTCTGTACCGCCGTACTGCCCGGTCCGTGCCATTGTTAGCTACCCATTTGTCACTCGTCGCGAGGGACCAGAGCAACTCTTGTTCGTACTCTCGAACAGACAGCAGCTGACCAGGCAGTCATTCACAGTAACAGTATGGTCTCTTGTCGCTGCGGCCGGTGTACCATCCCAGTCGAACTACTCCGGGCATTCGGTCTACATTGGTGCAGCCACCACCGCTGCTATGGCTAGTGCCCCGACTCCTTCTTCCGAGTGGCAGGTCAGTGGAAAGAGCGATGCGTGTCTATGCTACATCCGGACTACAACAAGCGCTAAGCGCCAGCTATCGTCCCGGCTTGCTGCCGTGCCATGGATGCCATGATCCCCAACTCGGGTGAGTAATGAGCTACTGAACTCTAGCTGCGCAATGCTTGCCTGTGCTGACATAAATTGACCCTTGCTGTGCGTCAATAGTGCTTAGCTAACGGAGTGCTGGTTTCATGGGTCCACTCTCACAACTGGTGTTATCTAGCTATTTGCTGCGGCTCTGCCTTGCGCTATATTACATCCATTTAGCATTGCAGCTCTACGTTGAGCTAACAGCAGCTCTACTTTGAGCTAACAGCAGCTCTACTTTGAGCTAACAGCAGCTCTACTTTGAGCTAACAGCAGCTCTACTTTGAGCTAACCGCAGCTCTACTTTGAGCTAACAGCAGCTCTACTTTGAGCTAACCGCAGCTCTACTTTGAGCTAACCGCAGCTCTACTTTGAGCTAACAGCAGCTCTACTTTGAGCTAACAGCAGCTCTACCTTGAGCTAACAGCAGCTCTACTTTGAGCTAACAGCAGCTCTACTTTGAGCTAACAGCAGCTCTACTTTGAGCTAACCGCAGCTCTACTTTGAGCTAACAGCAGCTCTACTTTGAGCTAACCGCAGCTCTACTTTGAGCTAACAGCAGCTCTACTTTGAGCTAACAGCAGCTCTGCTCTGAGCTAACAGCAGCTCTGCTCTGAGCTAACGCCAGCTCTACTTTGAGCTTCAAACCAGTTGTTTCGAAACCAGCACTCCTCAATCCAAAGATGCCTCTTTGTTGACTTGTTTGTGTGAGGGATGGGGCTAATGGTGTACTAGCTGTGCTAGTACTTGTTAGCAACAATCCGAACTAGCGCACACACTGCACTGCATTGCTTTGTACTGCATTCAAGACTGACGTCATGCGCTTTGTTTTGCTGCGTAATCACAAATGGCACCAGCCCATTTTGCCGAAAAGAAAAACAAATCTTGCTTGCCCTGTTGTGCTCTTCCAGACAACGGATCGTGCTTCAGCAGTGTTTCTTTTCCCGCCATCCCTCCCTATCCAACTTATTCGCACCATCATAATTATCGTACCCACTAATCGGGTCCACTCTCACAACTGGTGTTATCTAGCTATTTGCTGCGGCTCTGCCTTGCGCTATATTACATCCATTTAGCATTGCAGCTCTACGTTGAGCTAACAGCAGCTCTACTTTGAGCTAACAGCAGCTCTACTTTGAGCTAACAGCAGCTCTACTTTGAGCTAACAGCAGCTCTACTTTGAGCTAACCGCAGCTCTACTTTGAGCTAACAGCAGCTCTACTTTGAGCTAACCGCAGCTCTACTTTGAGCTAACCGCAGCTCTACTTTGAGCTAACAGCAGCTCTACTTTGAGCTAACAGCAGCTCTACCTTGAGCTAACAGCAGCTCTACTTTGAGCTAACAGCAGCTCTACTTTGAGCTAACAGCAGCTCTACTTTGAGCTAACCGCAGCTCTACTTTGAGCTAACAGCAGCTCTACTTTGAGCTAACCGCAGCTCTACTTTGAGCTAACAGCAGCTCTACTTTGAGCTAACAGCAGCTCTGCTCTGAGCTAACAGCAGCTCTGCTCTGAGCTAACGCCAGCTCTACTTTGAGCTTCAAACCAGTTGTTTCGAAACCAGCACTCCTCAATCCAAAGATGCCTCTTTGTTGACTTGTTTGTGTGAGGGATGGGGCTAATCCCACTTATGGGCTCACCACACCTCAGTAAGTGGGTGAGGACAAGGTGCGTGCGTGCGTGTGTGTGTGTGTGATACATGATTTTATGTACCACATTTGCCTGCATTTCTCTTTGTATGGTGCTCACAGTATGAGGAAGCGGCCGGAGCAGCGCATTGGCCTTGGAGAGCTTCTGGTAAGTTTACATGCATGCCTGAAAGAAAGCTGGTAGCGAATGATGAAACCCCTGCTGTTTCCTAACCACAATTGTGATCAAGTCATCTACAGCGGGCCACATCAGATTTTGCAATTTTCCAACCCCTCCCTTCCTCGTGCTGAATCAGAATAGTGGCCAGGGGGTGTAAACCCGGAATAGTGGCCAGGGGGAGTGTACACCCGGGCCTCCACCCCAGTACATGCGCTTGCACGTGCACAAGAAAACACTTGCTGAACTCTGATTGGCCGAGAGCTGTTGAACAATCATTTCAGGCGTGAAGTTCACAGTCAGGGTAGGCTATAAAAGCAATCATTCCAGGAGGGGATGGTGGTCGGGGTTTTGGATGGCTAGAAATTTTAGATTTTCTTCTCCAGTAGAATTTTACTCAAGCAAAGAACACAACAAGATTCCTCAAGCAGAAACAACAAGAGTGCATACTATGTGTGCGTATGTGCATGTGTGTTCGTGTGCATGTTGGGTGTTGGTGTGTGTGCAGAATCATCCCTTCATGCAGAACATGAGTGATAGCAACACGGAGATCATTGCTTTGTTTGTAAGAGATCACCAGGAGTATGGTGGTGCGGCCATGGCCCAACGCTACCTACTCCAACAGCAACAGGAGCACCGGCAACAACAGCAACAAATGGAAATGGGAGGTGCTGCTGCTGCGGCTGCTGCGGCACCTTACGGTGGTCTTCCACCTATGTACTCACCACAGCAACGACGAGAGCAAGGCTCCGCAACGCCTGTCATAGCTATGGCGACAACGGACACGGACGACGATGCTTTGGATAGTGCGGGGACGGTGACGACGGATAACAGTTTGGCACTGGGAGACGCTATCAACCAAGCACATCCACTGCCAGAAGAGCAGGCTATGACGTAATAGTTCTGTGAACTTGATGATGAGACTTGAAAGGGTATCTATATTCGTGCTGCTGCCGACGACGTTGAGGACTATTTATATATTTTCCTATTTTTTTCCTGTGTGCATTACGAATTCTTGCAGCTGAAATGTAGGATGACAGCTTGAGAGTTCTTGAAAACATAGTTCTGCTTTTGAGGTAGATGAACAACTGAAATTTTGATTCCATTTTTTGTGCACATGCACACTTCCTCTATTCAAATTAAATGAAGGTAGCATTGACAGAAGACTCGACGGATGTATGAAACTAACGAAACTTACGTACAGTGATTTTTGCAAGGCTATTTTTAATTTAATGTTTCAAACTAATGAACAATTATGCAAGCGGATCACAGTTTCAGATTCTCCACCGTCAACAGTCACAATAAGATGTTTGTGTACGTGTGCAGCAGCTGATTATTTGGATGGGTTGCTGGTCGAAGTGCGGTCCTCTGCTGGTCGAAGTGCGGTCCTCTGCAGATCCGACTACAAGGTATTTGGGTCTCTGCTGAATCTCCAGTGCTGAATCTCCAGTGCTGAATCTCCAGTGCTGAATCTCCAGTGCTGAATCTCCAGTGCTGAATCTCCAGTGCTGAATCTCCAGTGCTGAATCTCCAGTGCTGAATCTCCAGTGCTGAATCTCCAGTGCTGAATCTCCAGTGCTGAATCTCCAGTGCTGAATCTCCAGTGCTGAATCTCCAGTGCTGAATCTCCAGTGCTGAATCTCCAGTGCTGAATCTCCAGTGCTGAATCTCCAGTGCTGAATCTCCAGTGCTGAATCTCCAGTGCTGAATCTCCAGTGCTGTTCGATTTGCGTTTGCATCATGTTTTATTGCTCTATTTGAAACGCCGGGGAATACTCAGAGTATGCAATTCGGAAGGAAAACTTCATGCACTAGTGCAGTCCAGTAGTCAAGTAATAATACTAGTGGTCTTACACTAATAGCAACACTGGGGTGTTTTGAAGGTGCGTTGTGTCGCATAAGCCAGGCGTTGTGCTTACTTCCACAGTCATAGTGATTGCCAAAATAATGTTGTTACAACGCTTGCTCAGATATCACAAAATTAATGTTAATTCTTATTGCTGGAAAGTGGTGCGAGTATACCTACGTACAATGTCCGGCAGTGATCCAGATATTCAAAAAAGGCAATTGAAAATCGAGAATAAAGCTATGAATAGGATGAAGGCCGCAGACATCACGCAACTACGTTACTTGTTTGACATGTATTACTGTGTATTTTATAACAAAAATATTATTGAAAACAGTGGGTTTTCAATAATATTTTTGTTATAAAATACACAGTAATACATGTCAAACAAGTAACGTAGTTGCGTGATGTCTGCGGCCTTCATCGGATCCTATTCATAGCTTTATTGAAATTATTATCTCCACGTAGATTATTTCAAAATCGAGAACATTACCTTTTGATAGGACAATAATGTACTTTGTCATGTACACTTGAAGTACAGAATACGCATAGTTGTGAGTTAGGCTAGTCAAGGTAGTCATACTACTTAGAGAAGCTTGGCAAAATCCGGGCAAAGGGTAGCTTAGCCATATTGCTATGGTAACAACAAACAATCCCTGTTCTTTTCTTACCATAGGGCATCTATTTGACATGGTAATCAAAGTTTAGCTCAGGAGTTCCATGAACTTTTCATACTGCAGTACTTAGATCAATTTGCGTTCCAAAATCCACCTAGCTCAAAACTATATTATGCTTTCGAGCTAGGTGGATCATGTAGAATGTACAGTCAACTTCGCTAATAACGATTGCGGATATAACGACAATTCGCGAATAACGACAGAACTTCCATGCCCAGAGCAAAATCCCATCCAACTGTAACACATAATAATGAGACTTCGGGTATAACGACACTTCGCAAATAAGGACACTTGTTCCGTCGCATTTCATATATTGCTAGACTATCTGGTTTCTGTGTGTGAGCCGACAATAGGCGGTTGTGCGATGACAGTCTGGTTCTTTTCATTACCTTCGTAATCTGTGTCACGCTCACTTGGCTGCGGTTTCATTCATGTCTGTCATGCTAGTGTTAGTAGCCGCTGAACTAGTATCGTACGCTGCACATATCTAGAGTGCAAGAGTTCATAGTGCGTACGGGATCTTTCCATGCCTGCTGCTTTGGCTTCCTTTGTTTCGCTGCTTTTCAGGATATGTTCTGTGCATAAATTAGCTGGTTTTAGTTGATAGTGTTTTTAGTGTGTGTGTGTAAGGAATTGTAGAGAACAGGAGCTGTTGTTGTATCGTCTTGCAAGAACGTTGTAAGACAGATCAAGCCCCACAGTTTGTGTGATGATTCGAGTGTATGAGTACTCGAGTGCATGAATATACAGTCTTCGAAGGGTTCGTGTGCGTGTGAGTAGAAAATACGAACATATCTGGTCCTTCGAGCCGGATCGTGGCATGGAGTCGGATCCTGGTATGCGTAGGAGCAGCCGTTCCACGATAGGTGTACCTCCTCAGCGATGGGGTTTCGAAACCGAAGCTGTCGAAGGTAATCGTGACCAGCAAGGAGCAGTGCCGACGTCCGGCAATGGAAGTCGAGCTGTGAGTGCTCGATCGCGGACATCATCAGCCCAGCACAGTGGTAGCTCGCGACGAGCAGTGTTGGAAGCTGAGATTCGAGTCGCAAAGGCGCAGTTGGAACTGCGAGAATCTGAATTGGCAGCGGAAACTCTTGTAAGGACAAGTAGTGTTCGTTCGCCAGGCTCCGGGACAGGGAGGTCCCCGTCTCTCGGGATGCAACAACAAGTGTTTGCGGAGGCCGCAGAAGTGCTTGATGCAGGCGAGGAGGCACCACAAGGAGAGCCACACGACAACTCTCAACCGGACGCAGTAGTCGTCGGACTGGTTGCAGGAGATGTCGGGGACGTAGCAGGACACGTCCAGGAGATAGAGTCGGACGCCGAAAGTCACCTCCGACGCGAGTTCCAGCTGAAGGAACTCAGGTACCAGCAGGAAATCGGCTACCTCGGCGAGCAGTTGAACGAGTGCCGAAAGGAGTCGAGAAGGGTGAAAGACCGTGCTCAATCGATCGTCCAGAAGCTGGAGGTCGCCGAAAGCAAGCTTAGGGTCGCACAGCGGGAGAATCGAGACCTGTTGCAAACCAGCTACGAAAAGGAGAAGAGCATGTACAGTGAGCTGGAGCAAGCGCGGCACGAACTCGCGGAGATGGAGCGGCGCGTGCAGTATGCGCACAGCCAGGTATGTGACGAGTCCACAGCTGTAGTTGCATCACGTCCTCAATCCGTGAATAGTAGAGGGGACGGTTTCAAATAGGACACCGGTTGCAAACCGGAACGGACTCAATATTCACTTTCTCTCTTGGTATTTTGATTAGAAAACATATGTCACAGTGAGACTACGATGTGTTATACTCCGAGCCAAAATTTCATGGCTCTGCGATGATCAGAAGCGCCATATCAAGCAGGTGAGTTTTTGACGTGTTGCTTCGCACTGCGACTTGAGTTTTACGACTTTCGAAAAATCAACTTCTTGTCGCAGGTAAACAGCGGCTCGCCTCTCGACAATAAAGCACCGCATACCAATCAAAACTAATGGAAGCACACACAAGGCTTATTGTTACTCTGTACTGGCCGTCGTGGAGCGATAGCAATTACCTAATTTCAGACCCAGAGTGAATTTGACGGGCACTCTAAAACGTGTCCGGTTTGGAGCCACCTCTGATTTGAACTTTTTTGAAGCGAAAAATTGGGCAACTTGGAGGCAATGGGTCAACACAAAGGAGTGGCTCAGTTCGATTGACTCTGGCCCCAGAGCAAACTTCAACATGCCAGTTTCCTTCCACAAACATATTTCGAGTGAAAAATCAACGCTGATGATCGGTTTGGGTCTATACAAATTTGGCTGTCAAAACGTCCCGGTATCGAGCCGTCTCCTCTACAGACAGTCGTGATGGTGCCAAGTGTGTAACGCACGGGCTGTCTGCCTGTCAGATGAGTGGCAGTCACAGTCGAGTGGTCAGAGATGAGGCCAGCAGTCAAGTGCCTGTGCCAGCCAGCAGTGACTCTAGTAATGATTGTAGCAGTACAGCTGGCAATGCTGACTCAGACCAGTGTACTGGCCAGGGCACCATAGGCATCGCCAACATGGCACAGGAGTTTATGGGTGCTTTGACAGCAGCACTACGGAGTAGTGGCAACAACACCACCACCAGCCACAGTACTACTCCTGACTCTGACACTGGCCTACACCAGCTAGCAGCCCGACACAGCTCCATCAACACCAAGCTGCCCACGTTCTCTGGGAGACCTGAGGAATGGCCAACGTTCATCAGCACATACAGGAGCAGCACCAAGCAGTGCGGATTCAGCAATGCCGAGAACGTTCAACGCCTGCAAGCGTGCCTGAAGGGCAAAGCACGGGATGCGGTACAGCTGATGCTCTCCGTGCCCGACAATGTGGAGCAGGCCGTGCAGACGCTCGAGCGACGGTTTGGCAGGCCGGAGCTCGTCGTCACTGAGCTGATCGAGCAAGCCAAATCACTCAAACCCGTGAGGGCAGACGACCCCGACAGCTTGATCGGACTGGCAACGGCCATCAACAACATCGTGCTGACAATGAAGCTGCTCAACAGCCAGGGCCACCTGACCAACCCTGCATTGCGCAACGAGTTGGTCACGAAGTTACCACCAGCTCAACGGATGCAATGGGGAGAGTATCTAAAGACGCAAGGGTTGACGACCGATCAGCTCGGACTCGACACGTTCTCGTCCTGGCTGGGAGAGCGAGCTGAGGCTGCAGCGCTGGTGGCGCCAGCCAAGAGCCTTGCACAACCAACGACAACGTACAAGCCTCGCGGGCAGACAGCACTGCACGCCGCCAGCTCATCTGCAAACGAGGCCAGGCGAGACAAACCAGTTCGGTCCTGCCGGAATTGCAACGGCAGCCACTGCATCACCTGGTGCCGAAGCTTCAAGGCACTGCCAGTGAAACAGCGCCGGGAATTAGTATACGAATGGAAGCTATGCACCTGCTGCCTGAGGTCCGGGCACTGGAGGGCAGCGTGTCAGTCGGGAGGATGCGAACGTTGTCCAGCCAGGCACCACACTCTGCTCCACCAAGAGCGTACCCAGCGGACTAGTGGAGCACGAGGGGGCTCGACGACTGACGGAACGAGTGGAGCACGAGAGGGCTCGAACACTGACGGAACACAGCCCCAGGCAGCGACCAACCATCAAACCAGTGCATCGATGGGAGATCAGATTGCCTTCATGACTGTGCCAGTAGTGCTGGAGTATGAGGGTCGCCAACAGCGCGTCACCGCATTGCTGGACCCAGCCTCTACTACCAGCTTTCTGACGGATGACGCTGCGAGTAAGCTTGGCATAGT